TTCACCCCCTATACTTCATGAATACTATTCAGAAAGAGGGTACTTAAATTGTGCCCTTAGATTAAGAGTATCTTACATTTTATCCCGAGCAAATATTCAGGAAGAGATTTAAAGCACAGGCGACGTGTCCTGATGAGACAGAGTCAGAAAACATGCAGGTCATTTCACTGATTGACTGAGCTATGAAAACCATACATCATCTGGTGACATATGGTTGTCTTCACATGGCCAGAATACAATTAAGGATAACATTTTTAGGACTCAAGAGCAAAGATGTTATTATTCCCCTTTTTACGCCTCCATGCAGACGACGGCCAGTTGCCATATAGGCATTATGTTTTTTGGGTTGTCTGTTGTTGTTGTGAACATGATATCTCAGGAACACCTCGAGGGAATCCCTTCACATGTGGTGAAAACCTTCAGTTAAACTCATGGATGAACTGTGTTTTAAATCAAAAACATGTTTGCAATGTGAGCATAATATCTGAAGAATGCTTTCAAGGACATTTTTCAGATTTCATTCCAATGTTCACTTGGACCCACAGACGAACAGATTAGAATGACTGGTTGAAGGTCAAAGGTCAAGGTCACTGTGCTCTGTCTTGCTTCATGAACGTGTTCTCTTAAGAACACCATGAGAATTCTTTCAAATTTGGCAAAGATGTCAGCCAAACATCAAGGTCACATTGACCTTGCAAAACATTTTTCTTGTATATGATATCTCAAATCTGCCTTTGGGTATTTTCTTCAGTCTGATCAGTTGTCACTTGGATTCAAAAATAAATTCATCGGATTGCACTGGTTGTCAGAGGCACAGAATCCCAGTAATTCTAGTTTCCTGTCTGTGTGACATCTGTATATGTTGAGGGATCCCTCCTGTGTTTCCCTGAGGTTTCTACCTTTTTCAAGTTAATGCACAGTTTTTTCCCCCCCTTTGATTTCTGATTTTGACGGATCGCTCAGTCACAAATGTATCATAGTGATTACTCAAACCTCACTTTGAGCCAAGCCTCTTACACCCCCAGATGAAGTAAAAGGGTGGAAGGATATAAAACAATAAATATCTCCGACATTTCCTTTGTACACATCGGGGAGCTATTTCAATTCTGAGCACATAAAAGCTCTCCGTGGCGTAACCTTGTATCGTCAATTACAAAATCCCAAGTGAATCTTTGACGGTAAGCTGTTTGGATGTGGTGCCATTGATGAGATGTTTGGAACTTCTTTCTGCACCGTTAGTTTAATAGAATGCATTTTCCATGCAGGGAAAAAACACTGTTAGTTATAAAACAAAATTGACCCGTGTTTCCTTAAGATAAACACAAACCTCATCACAAGAGAGTTTGATAGACTTCACCTCAACACTTGCAAAGAAGTGGGGAAAAAAATAACATGCAACAGCGTCTGAATAAGCAAGTAGAGGGGCCTGTGGTGTTTGGTGCATGTTTTTTAATTATGCATGGACCTTTTGAGATAAGACACCAACAGATATAAATCCAATGAGATGTTTGATCACCTCCAACATATTTCACAGCAGGAGATACAAAGACTTTGACTGTTGCTTAGATCAAACCAGTTTCAGACTAAAGAGAAACGTCTCAATTAATTACAAAGCTGTCCACTTCTTTTACCAACTGCAACTTCAAGTAACTTAAATTTCAGCTCAGTTCTGACCTGTAGCAGAACCACAGACTGTATATACATTATTATCCTTATTCATTTATAAGCCTGTATTTTACCAGATTAGTCCCACTGAGATCAGACAAACACTGATAAGTAACACTGAAACAAAGTTTTAAAATTATTCAGCATCACAAAGTTTTATAGCTGAAAATCACTCTGTAATTTATTCAATGCTTTAGATGCTAAAAACCTAAAAGCTTTCCTTTCCAATTCAGTCCCGACTTTGGAAACAACAAATCATAAAATGTGCATAGAATGAAGATTATATTTTCAATGATTCTAGTTTTAAAGAGAAGATAAATAGGTCAGGATGTTACCCAGTGTTTTTGTAGGCAGGGTTTAGAACCTATACTGCAGCCACCAGGGGGCGATCACTTCACTTTTGGGGCGTTGTCACATTGTCCATCTTTATATACAGTCTATGGGTGAGACTGACTTCAAAGCGAAACAATGTCCTCTCTTTCCAACAGATTAATATGGTCTCTATAAACTCTCCTTCTCATTACACGCTCCACAACCCTGTAAAAATAATAAAACTGAAATTATGAGCCATGTTTTGGTCTCTTTTTTTTTTTAACGGGCTGGCTCTTGTCAAAAATGCTACCATGGAAACAAGGCTCTCTTTGGCCTGGGGTAAGGATGCTAACTTTTAAAGCTTAGAAATAAGTTTATCTTCAGTCTTTTTTGTCAGGACCAAGGTCCTCTCCACTGGTGGAAGCCCCCAAGCTGGGACGTTCTTGCTCTCTGTGATCCCCCCCACGAATGACTGTCATGTCTTCTTTTGAACCCTGGGAGGCTTTTATAATGTTAGTTCTATACTTATAGTTGCAACTGCACGGGCTTCCATCGCAAAACACAGGTGACTCACACTGCTCCTATCTCATGAGATATTGGCTGGTTTGACAAATTTGAGAGTGACTCAGCTCTTCATGTCTGGAGAATAAGACATTTCTCTGAGCAGAGTAAAGTTTTTTCTTATTCAATTTCAACAATTTTTACATTTTGTTTTGTAGATTATTGTGTAATCAAATATGATGCTTTAAATTAAGGAGGCTGCATTGGTTTTCATCTTTTGAGTGATTACATTTTTAATAAAAGCTTTGAGTGTAGTCATTTAAAAGCAGCGCAAGTTTATTTATAGGCCTACAGCAACATCCAGACAAAAAGCAATTCAAACATCATTGCCTGGATACACAATTACTGGAATATCTATGCTTTTCCTCACCGTGTGGTTCCAGAGTTTTGTAGTCTGCATGAAAATGATTAAAGTCTTAGGATCTGAGTCATCACAATGCCATCATATTGCAGTGGAGAAAGAACAAAGCCTGCTTTTCAGCTTGTAAGTAGTGTGCCTGTGTGAGCACGGAGCCAGCAGGAGGCTCAGGTGCAGCAGAAAGAGACAATTCCTTCACATTCAGAGGGGAATAGACCTGTCAGTCCCGTAAACCCTTGAAGAGCCAACCAGTGGAACCACATGCAGCGCTCTCCGCACACGTCACACTTATCTGGTGTGAACCAGGGTGGAGAGATACCAAAGCGAGGGCCTCATCATGCAAGATGCAAGGGGAGTCTTACTGGGAATTGTGAGATGTTTGTGTTTTCAGAGGGTTGACTGTGTTGTTGATTTGGATGCATCACAGTGAACACACATCAAATTTCAGCCTCCGAGCCGTACAAACACAAAACTAAGGTATTTTGGGCATGAGCAAATTCAGATTTAGTGCCAAGCCAGTCATTTTTTGAAAGACATTAGGGTGTCATATCTCCTCTAATAAATCTGTGACCTTTACGAGAGTCCTAGATTTTTTTTTTCCGCATTGTTCCCATGGGAAATTCTGCCTGCAGCGATGAGTGAGCAACAAGGTGGTTTGGTGGTATGCTGCGGTCCACCTCCTCTGAGTATTTCAGGTTATTTTTCATATTAATAAGTCCCAGCATCAATACTGTATAAGAGGAATTGATTGACATTTTTGCAAAATATGCTTATTGACTTTCTTGTCGAGAAATAGATGAAAGGATTGACCCTCGTGTCCGCAGGGTAAATATGAAGCTACAGCTTCACCTGCACTATAAATGAATTATGATAGATCAAGGCCCTGAAACCCAAATGGCTATAAAAGCAAAATATATGCGAAATACAGACATTTTTGTCCATTTCCTCAAAAATGAATCAGCTGGATCTTTTTTTCGGTGGTGTGTTGTTGTGATGAGTTAACATCTAAAATTCACTGACACACCTAATGAAAACGCTGTACAGTACAGTGTTTGCCATCCACCCATTCACACACACATTCATACAGTGCATCTATGTGAGGCACTATCACACATCATTCATGCACTGCCGGCACTGCCGGGACTGCCATTTGGGGTTCAGTATCAAGCCCAAGGACACTTGGGATCAAACCGCCAACCTTTGGTTAGAGGACAACCCGCTCTACATCCTGAGCCACATTCTCCAAGAGATAAGTAACTGGGCTCAAGAGCATCACTTGTTGCTGCATTTCACACTTTTCTGCGCCATTAAACGCTGCCAGACGACTCTGTGTTATGATCCAACAGGCTTTTGACTTGGAGAAAATCTCATTACAGGTTTTGAGTGTGTGTCTGTACGTGTGTGTGAGAGAGTGAGTGAGTGAGTGAGAGAGAGAGAGAGAGAGAGAGAGATGGAGAGAGAGAGGTGTGTTTTAGAGAGAGAGAGAGAGCGAGCATCAGTGTCTCTTGCAGCGTGTTGTCTGTATCAGATCAGAAGGGGGTCATCAAGGAATCCCTTGAATCTGCTCTCCAGGAAAAATCACACTATCATCTCCAGATTTTATTTCTCTCTCTCTCTCTCGCTCTGGATAGAATCAGCTCGTGCGCGCTGTTGCTTTATTTCCTTTATCATCGACTCGTTCTCTCTTTTTTTCGAAGAAGATGCCGAAACGGGAAAGAAAAGTGAGGCAGAAAATATCGGGAATCGACTGTTTGACAGCACGAGACGCGCAATAGGAATCATTAATCGATTTGTTGCCAATATTTTTACTCCATATACATTTCTTAATTTCTTTTTTTTTTTTAATCATTATTTTCTGTTTACCTCATGGGATTAAGATTTTTCTGCTAATCGAGCCGTACATGGTCAGTGAAGGCATCATTCCCGACGGTGTGGAGCTTTGCGCATCAGGCTGCACGAGAGTAAAAAGTTTTTAAGATGTCATTTTTATAAGATCGCCTGTTTGCTTCACGTCCTGCTCCCAGTAGGCTGCTGCAGACTATGCATTGAAAGCCAGAGGCGATTTACAAGCTGCATTATTGATCAGAAACGCAGGAGATTTTCCTTATTTTTTTACGATATAAAAAAACGCGACGAGGGGTTGAAGTTTGCTGAGGGTTGAGTTCGAGCTCTTCTTTCAAATTAAGGACAGTAGCAAAGGGTCTCTGTTGCAAACTCTGGAGAGCTGGGCTATATGAAGATCGCCACACAGTTGTTGGTTTCCCCTCGCAGAAATGCCAGTGCGTGCTGTGACCACCAGGTTCATGTACAAGGGACTTTGCACTATTCCAGATATCCTCACCTACCGGACCCCTGTTATCCTGCCTGAGGATGAGGTGGAAGGTGAGTCTTTGTTGGATGGATGGATGGATGGATGGATGGATGGATGTTCGGCCAGTTGGTCAGCTGGTTAGTTGGATGGATTTGTTGTTGGTTGGCTGGTCAGTTGGTCGGCTGGTTGGTTGGATGGATGATCAGTCTATCGCTTGGTAGGTAGGTTGGTTGGATGGATGTTTGGTGAGTCCTTCAGCTGGTTGGATGGTTGGATGGATGGATCTATGGATGGTTGGTTGGTTGGTCGGATGGATGTTTGGTTGGATGGATGGTCAGTCTATCGCTCCGTAGGTTGGTTGTTTGCTTGGTTGGGTAGTTGCAGTGACTTGCAACATCTGAATCCAAGGTCCGGGTACTGAACCAGTTCAGGACCCTGGAGAGATCCTGCCAGTGTGCGTTTCTTTTCCTCATCCACAGATCTGGGAGCAGTCTGGGCTGAAGGTCTGTGTGTAAGAAAGGTTCAGTACTAACCTACATGTTCAACACATTCTGCTGCACATGCTTAATGGTCAGTTTTATCTCTTCACCTGAGTCTGTTTTTGCATATTTAGATAATTTCTTTTTCAGTTCAAAATTTCACGTCATTCCCAAAGAATGCAGAGACTAATAACTAACAACATGCATTTTACAGCACCACCCACCCTTGTGCTTTTAGACAATACAAACATAAAGCTATATTAAAGCACCTGTGAGACCTGACTTCACCTGGTATCACTCCCTGTAGGTGATTTGTTTTTGAAAGACAAGGCTTGAAATTTGTCCTAAAAAAGCATCGCCTCAAATGGAGAAAAACGGCTACCAGTTTAAAGCAGATGAACAATACCTCTTCAGGAAAATCTATGCCAAGATAAAAAGCCATCATTAAGATGGAAGATTGATTCTTTTCCTGACTTGAATTGTATCTTGATATTAATTAATAAAAAGAGGACGCGTCTAAGACACAGCGCTGCACTTAAACCACATAAAAGATTCATGGGAGCATTTAAATCAATCTTATCGCTATAAATGTGGTGCATAGCTGTTAAGATTGGTCGTCTCGTTTTGGCAAATGGGCTCCACAATGAGAGCGCAGCTGGCTGTGATTTGGAACAAAGCCAGGCAGACTAGAATAAAGAGATAACTCGATCAGATTCGATATCAAGAAAATCTTTTAGGGAATTCCATTTCCCCTTTATCTGTCCGTAGGTTGCCCGGGCCTACAAGTGGCTGCCTGCCCTTGCTTTGCCACACATTTGACATTGAAATCACTATGACGGCATAAATGTAATTAAAAAAGGTTGGCGATGGGAAAGCAGGAATTAGAGCAAGAGCGAACTGACAAGGATGCTGTTGTGTTGCAGGAGAAGTTGCGTAGTCAATGATGAGAGAGCTTTTCGGGTAATGAAGGAGTCAAAGTATGTAGCTCACTAATTGAGTTGCATTAGATATTCAGGACATAGTGTGACAGAGCATTCAAGTGTGAATGTATTTATCCAGGGAAGACTCGCCGAGCACATAATTCACTGCTACAATTACATGGCTTGCACCTCAGCAGGGTAAACGCCGCTCTACCTTGTTTTCCACCGAGCAGCTCCACCCCCGCAGGTTTACTAAACAAGTTTCATTTACAGATCATCAAACCAGACTGAGGGTTTGGATCAGCAACCTCCCACATACAGGTCGTCTCCCCCTTTACAGCACTGCTGCTCCACCTGAACACGCAGTGTGGGAGCTGCAGGGCGGTTTAAACGCACATTGTTTGTCTGTGAACTCTGCTGCAGTCCACTGTGTCTCAATGACCTATACATACTGTTTCATCCACAAAACATTTAATTACTTTGGTGCAGAAGCTCCTTTATATATATATATATATGCCCCTCTGAGAAAAAGATTATAAACACATTACTGAACTGCAAGACATTAAGCTTTGGAAAATGGCTGTAAAAATGACATTAGGAAAAACACAGTAATGGTGGATGTTTCTTTGAGAATTCATTACGAAGCATAGACGAGTGTAGAGATAGGAAAGAAAATAAAACACCACATTTTGTGTAATATGAGTTTCATCCCTCCACCATAAGATAATTTGAAACAAACAAACACTGATTTAACTGATTCAAAGAGCCAAACATCTTTATCCTGAACAAGCTCATTTATATCACACAAACGCAACAATAGGAAATGAACGTTGTTTTTTATTCCTTTTTTTATCAGTAAAGAACAAGGAGACATGAGTTATGTCAAATCTTCTCAGTGACATTGTTGCAGGGACAAGCCGACTTTTATTAAGTCCATACTGACAAACACATATCTTTTCTCTCTTTTGCTAGTAGAGCAGTGCAAGAATAAAAATCACTTGGATTCATTATAATTATTATAGTACATCTGACGCCCTTCACTGTCTTTAATCTGAAGTTTTATTCAGATTATAATTTGATCTGTAATATGAACTTTATTGACAGTGTCAAACTGGACATCAGCTGCTGCTATATTTCGTACAACAAAGGGTGAGATGCATTGCACGTGATTCAATTTAAATTAAAGAAACTCGGTTGATACGCTAAAGTCTCAATTGACAGAAATTGTTGCCTCTGCAGTGATAACGGGACGACAGAAGCTTGCATTGAATATGAAGACATTGTTTATCGAGGGTGAGGTGTAGACAGAGTTATTAAGTACCTCAGCTCCTAATGGATCTGCCTGCAGGGGGTGTTTTTTGAACAGATGGTTGCTTATAGCAGGTGGGTCAGTGGCGAGGCTTCTTTGCCCTTGTATCATGCAGTTGTCATAAAACCTCATATGTATTCAAACCACTACTGCTGTAATACCAATTCTTCTCCTACTTCATGTAAAGCACGTGGGCTTTAAATGCCTCTCATGCAAAACCTGATTTGTTGTAATTAAGTCTTTCAAACGTTTAACTTTGGGTCTATCTCTTATTTCTCTTTGTGTCTGTGGCAGTAACACTTCATCACTAATGACCTCCACACCTACGCTACTTTAGCCATTCAGACTTTTTAGGTCAATAGCAGCAATCACCTCATTATTCATACCAACACTCCATTAAATGTTTATGTGCGTAGTCAACCTGTGTGAAAGAGTTTGACTCACAGAGCAGAGTTTGGTCAATGTCTATGTGGACGTAACGCTGTGCCAAGTGTCTCCCTGTGTCATGAGCGCTACATTAAAACTGAGGTCCACAGCCGAGTTCAGCCCATTACGCATGAACCACTGGGATTACTGAATACGGCCATGACACTTATAATGTGCACTTAGATTTGTCCATCACCTTTATGGAGAACACTCTGAAATGCACGATCATGTGGTGATTTATATCGATGCTATATATGAAATGAAAGTCACCGATCTGTAATTCAGTGAGGAGTCTGAGTGTGGAGGAATTCCGTGCACATTTAACACGATGCTCTCGTCTCAGTTCTCACTCGCTGCTTTTCACACTTTTCTTAGAACAAATAATTGATTTAAAACGAGTTCTTTGACTTTATATTTTGGTCCACATCCAATCTGCTTACATGGAGAAGGCAGAACTCCTGTCGTCCATCTTTACATACAGTCCACGATGTTAAATTTGGAATTACAGTCATTCAAAATGTCCATGATTAGATCTTTAATGTAGTGTGTATTTTCTAATTTATTGATTTAATTAGATTTCTATGTTGATATCGAACCACGAGTCCGAAATGAAGCTTAACTGATATGTTTAATTATTTTCTGCCCGTTTCATTTCATTTTCATTAATTTCAACAAATGTCAATCTCACCTTTTTAACATTACTATTACAAATGTACTTAAGATAAACCTGCCGACTCTTTAAATGCACACATGCTGAAACTGATAAGACTCGTGTTTTATGGCTCAGCAGTCGTGTCTTCCTGGCAGTTACACTCTTGGCGGTTGCTGCGAGCTCGTATCGCTCCTCGGTGCATCCCTGACAGAGGATGTGAACAGTGTTTGTGGATCATAGCCAGCAGGAGAATCCCCCAGAAACCAGGCATTATAGTGGAGTGTGCACCAGCTTCCACTTTGTAGCTGTCGTCTTTAGCGCTTTAAAATGGAGCAGGTTTTTTGAAGCAGTATTGTAGCAAGTGTATGTGTGTCAGGGATCTATAACTGCAAATATATGCTGCACACAAACAGAGGAATATTTGTCAGGCCTGATTTGCTATGGCTGGATGCACTGTTTTACTGAAAGGGTCACACTTGTCCAGTTGAGTTCAGTGAATATAAATAATGAATATTTGTGTGTTCATCTTTGATTTTGAGCAAAGCAACAACAGCAAGGTTACAAAAAGAAAAAGAAACTCCTCTGCAGACACTCCATTATCTTTGCCATGGTTTATTTAATGCGTCTTCCTCAGTGGTCAAAGACAAATGTCTGCTCATTACCGTTGTAGTCGCTAAGAGAGAGTCACAGTTTTAAATAAAAGTGTTTAACGTTATGAGAAGACTTTAATTATGAGACTGTGTCTTTTACTCTCCCCTAGTCCGTCCTTCCACAACCGTCATATTTTATTTACATCAGTTGGGACACAAAGCAAATGTTAACTGATGAAACTGGTGCAGATGAATATTTATGAGTGTACGAAATTCATGCAACTTCTACCCTTGAGTCTTCCTGAGAAGTGAGACCTCCTTCAGGGAATGTTCAATCTAAGGTGCATTACTGAAGTTGGAGGGGTCTAACTTATCCCGTTTCATTGGACGATTGATCGTATTCTCAAGAGAAAACATTGGTTATGCTGTTGCTACATGTTTGTGTTCAAAGAAACCATTAATATAGCTTGTAAATCAGGAGATAAGAGAAAAAACTGCTGTTTGAGGGATGAAGTGAATACAGATAAATATAATAAAACAACAAAAGCCTGTCAAACAATTATATCTGATCTGTTTATGAGCATGAAGTCATATGAGTTAGTCCTCCAAAACAGCAGCAGCAACTGTGTGTGTGTGTGCTTGTGCCCGTGCGCAAATATAATAACTGTAAATCTCCTGCAGCAAAGAAAGGTAGA